AGCAGGAAGAGCAGCAAACACCTCTGGATCCACCTAGTGGGAAAGAGAAGGTCCAAGTTAAGCCTGTGCAATTCTAGATAGCAGCCAGTGTTGTTTTTTTTGTTCGTTTGTTTTTTATAAAGTTGATTTTGTTTTCAAATTATGCTTTTCTACATGTAGGAATTTTTTAAAATGTTGCTATAGGGAATGTGCACTCGCTGGAGAAACATACAGGGAGAAAGCACTGGGATGGCCACGTTGCAATCCCTTCTCCGTTTTCCTCTCAGGACTTTGGGCGTGCACACTACACAGTCAGCCATGGATCCAGCTATGTTACCCACCACTCTACCAGCTGGCTCTATGTGAATTATTAATAGGTCCTCTCAGAGCTCATCAAATCTTCAAAATGTTTAGAATTCACATGAACTAAATTTATAGAAAATGCCACCACAGCGAAACCACTAAGAAGATAAGTGCCATTGTTTCTGGTGTAGGGCTAGACATCTCTATCTTTTTCTCAGATGTCTGTTCCTTTCTTCTGGGCAGCAGCTTTAAGCACCCATACACCACTCCCTCCCTCCCTCTCCCCTGTCCAGAGACAGGCTGCTGCCAGTCTCCCCTCCTCTCTCCCTCAGCAGACACGGTATAAGCTCCTGGGCATAGGAAAAGGGGTAACAAGCGATGCCCTGGGCTGGAGCAGGATGGGTGAGAATACTGGAACTATGCGAGAAGTTTCTAAATGTAACTTACCTGTGAAAAAGCTGGAAGGGCTATTACATTTATTCCTGTGTCACTATTAGATTCTTGAGGTTCTGGTATTTGCAGTAAAACAGTTCCAACCGGTTGTGGCAAAATTCCTGTATTAGAGCCATTCACCGGTTCTTTCTTTCTGTCCCCATGTGGCTCTCCTTGCTGAACAGCATAAACTTGCTCTATTTGTTCCCGGAGATCAGATGGAAGTGCTTCTAAAACTGACTGGTCAAGCTATAAAACACCAAACACACCATTGGAAATTCAAGCATGCTTAGAGATGAGGTTTTTGAGGAGTGAATTAAGTAATTTTGATTTGAACATCTTAGATACATATTCACTATCTAAGTGCAAATGACCAGGCAAGCACATTTTTGGAATGTCCTGGTCTACTGTCACTTAAGCCTAAAGTTAATGCATGAAGCCTGGAGATGACAAGTGTATACAACCAGCCCTACCACATGACCAGGTAAGTTCACAGATGTTCCCCACTAGGAGCTGCAGATGGACAGGGAGAGCCTTTGCAAGCTAAATCTGCAGACCCCCTCCGACGGGAAGGGGTGCATGCATAAGACCTATGTTAAAGGTCTGGAATAGCAAATAGTGCCAAGTTGGAAGTTCACCTTTCAGATGAGAGACTGCCCAAATGTACAAATAATTCTAGTCTGGGAGCAGCAGGCTGGAAGAAAGTGTTTCTAGAAGGAAGAATTCTTCCAGCCTTCAGACTAGAATCCCTAGCTTGGCCACATTTTCCCTCCCTGTCAACGTGCGGCTAGCCCTTTAGAAGCATGCAATTACACACTGGGCGGCCATTCTCATCTAGTTAGAAGCAACTTTTCAGGCACCTGCCATCAGCAATAAGGCAGTGCAATTGTTAGTAGGTGCCCCCTTCCATATTCCTGCAGCAGGGGAATAGATGGGGCCACGGTAAGCTTTTCCCAGTATAGCTTAAAGTGCTACCTTATAAGGAGCAAAGGATGCCAACATGTATCACATTTAAACAATGAATTTTGATAGGTTATGTTATGAAAATAATTCCTCTATAGAGAAGACCATCTGCAAATGCTGCAAAAACACTTCAACATTAAGGCCTCTACTTTACTACTGATCCTCAAAGCTGCTCTGGTGAATAGAGTGATTACCACTGTCATAGACCGTATCAGTTCACAGGGCAGTTGCCTTTCAGTCAGGCTTGACAACTTGCAAGAGTTGCAAATCTTTGTAAAACCACATCTTTTAGCTAACCGAATTACTGCTTATTTAGAATTCAGCAACATCATGATCCACCCTGCCAAGTGGTCTACTTTTCCCTTTCTTGGATATACTGGTTAAATTAAAAATGTCATTTTCTTTTGTCAGGTCACTCTATTACTTATATTTAGCAGAACAAAAACATACCTGGGAAGGGGATGGAACCTCTATACTCAGGTTCAGTCTTGACTGCACAGTGATGGGAGAATGCAGACCATTCCATTTCCCTGAACATTCAGCTTTGCCAGTATCAACACTGATACTAGCTGGCTGATGTCCAGACAAAGATGGCAAGAAAGTGCAAGTTTTAGAGGCAGATGATATTTCCAGATCCACAGCAGCCAGAAATACTGCAAGTATAAAAAAAATAATAAGTTACTTAGATCTGAGCAAGAAAAGCTTTAATCTCTGACTTCCCTCTGTCTACTACAAATAAAACAACTTCACTGATTCATCATGATTAAGAATATAAATCTGTTTCCTAGGACCAGCAGATGGCATATTGGTTATGTCGCTGGACTCCCATGTAGTCAACCACAGTTCAAGTTCTGGATCTAGTGGCTTAAAATTCATGTGTATGTGTGCATGCCCAAGATTTTAAGAGGAGAATGTAGAAGGTACTGTGGACAAGCAACACCAAAAACCTTCCACCAACCTTCCTTGTGCTCCTCTTCTGTGGATTTCTTTGCTTTCTGAACTTGGAAAAGCTCACGCACAGTGTGCGATCCACCAGGCAAGTGATCTGACTGAGCTGCTGGGCGACTGAGCCATGTGGATGAGTTTGCGTGAGCTGGAACCAACTGATTGACTTGAATCCCAACCTAGAACCAAAATAAAGAGTGTATCTTAAGGAGAAATAAAGTCAAAATATAAATTCGACTAAGCAAAATTCTCAGCTTATCTTTATCTTCTATAGTAGATCCTTTTTCTAGATAAAGGTTGGTTAAATGAAATTACTCAAACAGCCTTCTATATGATTTATTACAAAAACTACTTCTAGGCTAGCTAGTGAAAAGTCATTCATCTCCATCTTCAAAGTATCCAATTTACTTCTCTGGACTCCCATGTAGTTGATTGTAGCTTAAAACTCAAACCGGGTGCGTATGTGTGCATGTCCAAAATCCCAAGAGGAGAATGGAGAAGGGACTACTGTGGTGTGGCCATCCCCCCATGAGGGGTGATTTCTCACTTTCTGCCTGTCTCTCCAGTGAGCACAAGCTCCCTACAGCAAAAATCTCTCTTAAAAAAAAAAAAAAAAAAGTATCCAATTCTAAGCAAAAAATATTAAACTATATTTAAAATCAGAAAAATCCAAATAAGTTGAATACTATTTTCCACTGATGTTGTAAGCCTAAGGTTTTGAAGTAGAACTTTACAATGCTTATAAACAGGAGACATCTACTAGTCCACTTCACTTATCACTTTTTTTTTTTGGAGAGATTTTCACTGTAGGGCACAGGCGCTCGCCAGACAGACAGAGAGAGACATTAGAGACAGAAAGTGAGAAATCACCCCCCAGGGGGGATGGTCACGCCACAATCCCTTCTCCTCCATTCTCCTCTCGGGATTTTGGGCACGCACGCACATGCACCCGGCGTGGGTTTTTTAAGGCACCAGGTCTGGGACGCAAACGGCGGTCAACTATGTGGGAGTCCAGCGACATAGCCATTACACTAACTGCTGGTTCCCATCATTCTTTTTTAAAATAATTATTTATTTCATTTTATTTAATTTTTTAAAAGAATTTGACTAGAGAGAGAGAGTGAGAAAGTAACCCACCAAGTTGGGATTCCAACTGCCGTTGGCCATGTGGGAATCTAGCACTTAACCACCATGCCACCTGCTGCCCCCATCATTCTCTTTTTAATGAAATATTTTTCAAATTAAAAAAATGGGGATGGGATGAACAGTAGATCACTGTTAACCATCCCCACTATTAATTATGTAACTTTAGGGAGCAGTTTCAATTAAGGCTGGCTTAGTTACTTTACAGGTTTTCAACAAAACTTGCACCAAACCAAAGACTACCCTTTATTCGTTTGCACACACACACACACACTTACAAACGGGTTAATTTTCAGTTAAGAACTCATATTTTCACACTCTGATGCTTTCTTCCTCATCTGTTCAAAAGACATCTTCATTCACTTAATGGCTTCCCTCCCTTCTAATCATCATACTTCAGATATCAGAATAAATTTCTGATTAAAAAGGACCTTAAGGGGGAACCAGCAGTTAGCGTAATGGCTATGTCGCTGGACTCCCATGTAGTTGACCGCGGTTCGCGTCCTGGACCTGGTGGCTTAAAACTCATGCCAGGCGTGTGTGCGTGCGTGCCCAAGATCCCAAGAGGAGAACGGAGAAGAGATTGCAGCGTGGCCATCCCTGATTTCTCGCTTTCTGTCTGTCTCTGTCTAGCGAGCACACGTGACTTATGGCAAAAACCTCTCAAAAAAAAAAAAAAAAAAGA